TGTTGTTTACAATGAAGCTCACCTTTATTAGTAATAATAATAGTGATTTGAAACAATTAGTTCCCTTTATGAATTTAAACAAAGCAATAAGAAGACGTAATTTGTCTGAATCCTGTAATGTCGCATTTGTGGAACACATTTCGAAAAATCTGATCACACTCCACGGACTTGTCATAGGAATATACATATGAAATTAATAAGGAGGCAAGAGGTGAGAAAATAGACTTGACTTAGGTCAAGTTAAACGGATATATTGAAGGTCAAAATAACAATGAAGATCACTAAACTAAATAACAGAGGTAATAGTACATCTACCTACCCTGGCTGGTATCAAAACAAAATTTACCAAAGAAGCCTTAGTGTGATAACGAATTGTTTTCGAATGCATAAAGGTGTGAAGCCAATATATCTGTCAAAGCCCTTCGAACATGCGAAAAATGATGTCACATCCCACTGTATTTACCAATTTGAATGTACGTATGGACACACATACATAAGGAGAACTTATCGTTTTCTGCAAGTAAGGGCTGGCTTCAGAGCATATTCTTGAATGGCTCCAGAAACAAATAGAATCTTCAAAACCCATTAACGGTGAGAACAGGAGACCTAGCTCATCTATTGCGAAACATATTATAGAGACAGGACATAAAATTGACGTTAACACATCTTTTAATCCTATCTATAAAAGGTGATTGGGGGAGAGAGTATCCTAAAGTTTGTGGAAGCCCTAGCAATTAAAAAGTTTCAAACACCTTTATGCGTTCAAAATCAGTTCGTCATCATACTAAACCTTCCTTGGTAAACTTTGCTTTGTTACTATCTAGGATAGATGAAATATTACCTCTGTTATTTGGTTTAGTGATCTTCATTGTTATTTTGACCTTCAAAATGTCCTCCTTTTAACTTGACTTTTATAATAAAAAACACAATTCAGACAAATTACGTCTTCTTATTGCTTTATCTAAATAATGATTTTCTTTATTCCAAAATAGTAATTATGATTTTTTTTATTCCTTCACGTTCCCAGTGGAACATAGGGCACCTTCAAGCTAGACACTCGAAGTTTCTGTAGAAGTGGTGTTTATTACTTTTACAGGATGGAGTTGCTAGCCAGCCTCATGCCCAACCTTCCCTCTTTACCAACTTTCATTTCTAGCTAAGCGAGGTAAAGGAGTGCGTTGGTGCCTGGGGATCGAACTCCGGACCATGTGCATGGTCGGTGAGCGTCCTAATCGCTGTACAGCACCGATGCACAGCATTTGGTTTAATATTGTTGCATATAATTTACTCGACAGCAGTAAAAATAAAACATTTATATTACAGGGTATAGACAACGGAAATTGATAATAACAGCATTGACATTTAAGTCAAAAATGTACAAAAATGTTAATAGGATGATAATAATTTTATTAACTATGTGCAGAAGCAGTTACAGTCTACGTCTTAAGGGAACAAACGCCTACAATATTGCCATCGCCAGGCATCTCCTTGATACGAGGCATGAAGTGGAAATCGCAAAATCCTTTCAAATTATCAATAGACAAAAAAGCTCAATTCTTTTCAAGTTTGCCGAAGCAATCTCTATCAGACACCTGAAACCCGTTTAAGTGTTCAGAAAGAAGCAGTTAGTTATCAGTCTTTTCTTGTCCTGCCTGATAACTGGATGTGTTTATTCTTTCCTTCAGTTGGTTGCGCAATCTTTGGCTTCAACCTCAAACATCCAACCCCACATTTGATATAGTGTAATTTTGCTTGTCTCTTGTGTTTCTATGATTTCAGTTGAACACAGCATGTTGTTACCCAATTTATTAGTCACCCGTCATCGTACGCATCACTAGTCTTTTGATATATGTGTGTAGCACTTGTGCTCTGTGGTAGTAGGTAATTCCATATTAGTTTGTTTATTAGAAGTATCACACAGTGAAACAGTATTATTGTTTACCGAATGACAAGGTTTCGAACATTTTTTATCACTGTTCATAATCATATCAATCAATTGTAATCACACGACTTCGAAACTTGAGTTTTAAAGTTTCCCTAATCTTCTCCTATTTGTCGTCGTTGGGGTAGTAGAATTTTCCAGATATCTGGCTGGACAGGTGTTGAATCATTCCTATTACACGTATTTCCATTCAGTTGATTCGATAAACAAAGCTTCCGTTGTTATCATTCTCTCCTTGTACCCTGGTATATTAGACTTTAAAACTGTCATCTTATCCCATCCCTCCTATATTGTATGGAGCGTAGGTGTGTATTTGCATGCAGCATGCGGCTGAACTATTCTCCAGATTTCTCATCTTATTCGGGTAAACTAATCTATATTTCGCTAGGTATTTATGCTGCTCAGTTAGTTTGACTACCCCGTTCAATTAGTTCGACCTATGCATTTGACCTAACAATCATTTCAGACAGGGTATTAGATAAACTAAATTGTTTTGTTTTAAAGGCTCCACAGGATTGATCCCTTAACGACAAAGCTTGTTTCTAATTGAGTTTGTGGGTTTCAATGCCTTTAAAACAAAACAATTTAGTTTATCTAATACCCCTCCTGAAATGACTGTCAGGACAAACACGTAGGCCAAAGTAGTAGAACAGGGGCAGTCAGACTAGCCAAAGATAAAATCTTAACAAAATCTAGATTGGTTGACCCGAATAAGATGAGAAATCTGGAGAACAGATGAGCCATAGATAGCACTCACTACATGCAATTACACAACTGTACAATAATATGGCTTGGGTATGATGACAGTTTGTTTCATAGTCTGATGTAACAAGGTGGAGGGTGAGATTGATAACAACGGAAGCTTTGCTTATCGAATCAACTGAATGAAAATACATGTAATCGAAGTGATCCCACACCTGTCCACCAGGACACCTTGAAAATTCTACTATCCCAACGACGGCGAATGGGAGAAGATAAAGGAGACTATAAAACTCAAGTTTCGAAGTCGTGTGATTATAATTGATTGATATGATTATGAACAATGATAAATTGTGTTCGAAACCTTGTCATCCAGTATACAATAATACTGTTTCACAGTGTCATATATCGAATAAACAAACTAATATGGAATCTCTCGTCTATTATAATTGCGTAACTCCTTTACCATTGTATGCATACATTTATTTTTTGTTTAAACTTGAGCTCCCTGATTAAATATACTATGTAAGCGTTATTTTCTGTGCACTACAGTTGACTAAGTACGGCTGGAACTTCTTGTCAGCTGGTATCATATAGTGTTTGCAAGTATGTTAAAATTGTTTCTGTACATAAACTTAATAATAAATTATTTAGGCTGTAAGCAGCTGATAAGTAGCCAACAAAATAAGCAATGATGGTAGCATCGTCTTATTCTCCATAAAACCGCGCTGTTGCTCTTCCTTTTATTATTATTATTGTTCCTTTGGGTTCCTAGTGGAACAAAGGGCTTCAACTGCACCTCTCCACTTGCTTCTGTCTTCTGATGTACTTTTCAGCTGCATCAATGTTAGTCCATACTGTTTTAATTCCTCTTCACACGATCTCCTCCATGTCACCCTCCTTAGACGTCCCACTCGCCGCTTCCCTTTCAGGTTCCACTCGAAGGTCAAATAAAATTCAAAACAATTTTTTTCAGGATTTCATCATCATGAAGTGATATCGGTTAGTGGACTTGAAAACATTTATTTCCCGATAAGAATTTAAAACAAGCAATAAAGGTTAATAAAGCAGGATGATTTAATGATGGATTCATCAAATTTCTGTTGAACTCGTCGGCTGAATACTCTACATACACGGACATATATACACACTATAGAAATTACATTGGAGATATAAGACTGATAAGCACAAATAAACTACATTGAATTAGTCATACAGAAAGACAGGTGTGAATGTTTTCTTGAGGTCATGTTCAATTAGATAAGGAGAGAGAGAGAGTATGAGAGATCAAAATTAAGATAAATTGCATTACGCTTCAATTACATCTTATATCGACGCGGTCAAGTCATTCACCATTGTCAGCAGACAAAGAATCAAGAAGATGCAATTCCATTATGGGTAAATTTTATTTTGATAAAGTCTCACAGTGTTATACAGTAATATTCACTGATGACGTTTCGAGCACAATTTATTGCTCGTAATCATATCAAGGTGATATGGAATTACACTCTACCACAGTGTCCAAGTTTTATTCTTAAATCAAGAAGATGCTTGCAATTGCAAAGGCTTGTGCAATTCGAGTTTATAAACCAGGTCTCTGTGTACAAAAGGAGATGGTCGTCACTCTGAATCTACCATGGTAATACGCTTTACTTATAATTCTACCTCTTATTATTATTATTTTTATTATTATTATTCTCATTATTATTATTCCTGATTCATTTAAAACTATCCTTTATCAGTAGCATTATCTTAACTCACTTCAACACTATTATTATTATTGTTATTATAACTATTACTATTGCTATTACTCTGTGTGCGATTCTTGTGATATTCTCTAATGTCAAATTGTTTATCTAAGTGATGCAATTGAAGCGTAATGCATTGTATCTTAATTTTGATCTCTCATAATCTATCCCCCTTCCCCTTATCTAACTGAACATGACCTGGAAAAACATTCGCACCTGTCTTTCTGCATGACTAATTCAATGTAGTTTATTTGTGCTTATCAGTCTTATATCTTCCAATGTAATTTCAAAAGTATATATATACATCCGTGTATGTAGAGTATTCAGCTGAAGAGGAGTTCTACCGAAATTTGATGAATCCATCATTAAATCATCCTGCTTTATTAACCTTTGTTGCTTGTTTTAGGTTAGTGGACTACTATTAGGGAAAACCAACTGGAAGTTGTCGAGTACTTCCTGTGGCTGATTTTCCAATTGCCCCCCCCCCCGCCTAACCGATATCACTTCATGATGATGATGATGATAAAAGCAGGTCAACACTTGAAAGACAAATTTATCAACACAGTCATGATAATAATAACAATAATAATAATCAAATGACTAAAACTCACCACAAATAGACAATTCAATAATACAAATACATTTGTCCATAATTTTTCTGTTAATGACAGATTAAATCGCATTGTTTTCTATCTTGGCTAAATAATTGATACACCTGGAGTTATAGTGAGAGAGAGTAGAGTACTCTTGACGAAAAAATCTGTATAAGTGAGAGTGCAGAAATATTTAGAAGGAAATTTATATCAAACAGTGTTTCACTGCGTAATAGTGTTGCTGATATATACAAATACATATATATTTATATACAGACACACATTCTCCCTCCCTCAGAACACACACACATACAGACTACTCAGTATATTGCTCCGTTGATGCCAGTGTGCTCTACACACACCCCCACACACACACAAACACACACCCAGAGGCATATTCGCATATTCCCGTTTTTCTGATGAAAGATATCTCAGAGAGCAGCACAGTTACTGCCTTTTTTTACAATGTCTCTTCTTCTCACACTGCTCTCGCACGCCCACACACACGCACACGCACACGCACAAAGTTATCATTGTTGTAGTAGCTGTTTCAACACACAGGATAAATTCTGCACATTAGTGTAACAACATTTGAGTTATCTTTCACTTTACATGTAAAAGTTAAATAGACATGTACTCTATTTTAACACATCTTTATGAGAGAGAGAGCATAATTGTCGGTATTTTTGTGCATGCATGCATGAGTGTGTTTGTGTGTGTGTGTGTGTGGGCGTGCGTGCGTGCGTCTACGACTTCATTTGAGTCTATCTTCTTCTACACTACATATAACTAAAAGTCTTTGTATGTGTTGAGATTGTGTAATGTATGTATTGAGAAGAGAGAAAAAAATCAATATAGTTGCTTTCGTAGTAAGTAGTTAGTAGTATTAGTAGTAGTAGTAGTAGTAGTAGTAGTAATGATAGGCAGTGGAGAAAATGTCAATCATTCTGATTGGATTCTATTAATTGAATTACCTTTCTTATATTTAATTATATATTTAGTAATTAACCATGTTTTTTATATTAGGAGTGACGGTAGTGGTGTTGTGGTTATTGTTGGTGGTGGTGGTGCTCGTGCTAGTGAATTGATTGAATTGCACATTTATAGATTTTACTATCCTCCTATAGATTTTTTTTCTTTAATATTGACATTTTTTGCTGAAACATTCAGTTGGAAAGAATTAGTCCCCTTTAGTCTATTTGGAACACAGTTAATTAATTCTGTAGAAGGCGAGGAAGAAAGTTCCAGTTAGAGGTCACTTTAAAACAGAATTCTGAGTTGAAGAGGGAGAGAGACAATTATTATTATTATTCCATTGAGTTCCTAGTGGAACGTACGGCTTCAACTACACGTCTCCACTTCCTTCTGTCTTCTGCTGTACTCTTCACCTGCATCCATGTTAGTCCATACTGTTTCAAATCCTCTTCACACGATCTCCTCAATGTCACAATTGGACGTCCCACTCTCCGCTTCACTTTCGAGTTCCACTCGAGCACTGGCCTGACGCGCGATCTCACCCAGCGGCCTCTTCAGCGAGTGTCCAATCCATCTCCACTTTCTCCTGCATATTTGTTGGACGATTGGTTTTTGTTTTGTTTAATTGTTCCCATAGTTTCTTGTTGGTTCTTGTTCTTTCCGGCCATCTGATCTTCAGTATAGAGCCGGCGAAGACAGTTAGTTTTTGATAAAGGTGTGCAACAGGCTGTTGGAAATATTCTTTGTGACACATTGGCCAAGTTTCTCATCCGTATAGAAGAAGTGACTGACTTGACGTTTGTATTGAAAATCCGAATCACTCTGTTGTTGATGCAGGCTGAATGACAGCGGAAGATTTCCAGATTGGTTGGTTTCAGGTTGATGAATGTGTTTCTCGCCTTCCCGATTCTCGCTCGATTTGACATCGTCGTCCGTTCCTCCTGTAGTTGAGACAATGCTCCCTAGATAAGTGAATGAATGAAGTAACCACTTTCAAATCCCTCCCGTTGATGGTGATTGGTGCTGGATGTTGCTGCTGTTGTTGGTGGTGGTGGTTGGTTGGTTGGTTATTTTCATCACCTCCGTCTTGTCTATGTTCACCTGGAGTGCTGTCTTTGCTGACAGCCTCTTCGACCAGTTTGTCGGTTTTCGCTTGTAAGTCTTCGATTTTGTGTGACATCAAACATAAATCATCCACGCGCGAAATCCAGGTCTTCTAGGTTCTTCACGTCGGTCCAGGATATCCCTGTCTTCTCATTTTCCACTGTCTGACGCATAATCCAGCCCACTACAATTAGGAATATCACTGATGATAATAAGCACTTTTGTCTGACTCCTGCGTTTACTCGAAACGCCTCGCTGAGTTTTCCGTTGTGGATCACTTGTCATGTGCCTCCATATTAATGCGGAGTATATGAAGTACTTGGATAGTTTGTATATTGACATGCTGAAATTCTTTCAGGTTGTTTTGCGCTCAACGTGCTCCAACCCCACGATGTATTTGTTCCTTTAAAACAGATCAAGTGGTGTGCTGAAAGCTACTCTTCAATCCATACGATTTCAAAGTGTTTAACAAGAACTTAAAAAATTAGTTAGTGAAAACAAAGTATAACTGAGTAAATTCTATTCATCATGCTCTGTGAAAAATTTACTGATAGCTTAATGATTTAAGTCTCTAATCAGTGGATTTATCATCAAACTGTAAAATCATTTATCGGTAGGCATAAAGAATCGTGACTATGGAGTAAGAAAACAGCGATGACCACGAACTCATACCATTCGTTGGACTATAGATCCTACCGGGTATCCTACATCAAAAAGCCGTTTATTTACACAAAATTAATAAACCTAACGCTATTGACTGACTGACTGGTTTCAACGTGGAACTTTGCACAGATGCCCAGTAGTTCGAGTTGTCAAACTCCCTCCTTGTAGCACACAAAGCAAGAGAAGAGAGTAAAGAGAAATGCAAAAGAGAGATAATAAATAGAAATATGAGGCAAAAAGAATAGTAATATAGAAGAACAATATAGTTTTATTGGATATGATAAATCACAAAGAGTGAATGCATCTGCGCCGGCCATTGAGAACGATGATTTTGAGCCATATCACCAATTGTCTCCAGCCTCCATCGGTTTTTATCATCTCGATGACTCCAACCAGGAATCGGGTCCAAACCTCCCTGCCTGTCTTAACCTACCTGTTGTGGATTTCATTGACTGATGAAGCCATGTTTTCGTTTGACCACCACTAACTAACTCTTTTCCAACCTGATCGATCCTATGTTGGCCAACACTGCCCGTCAAGGAAGGCTATCGATGGCTAGGCATACATGCGTAACACATGTCTAAACCATCTCTCTCAATTGGTGTAACTTTACAGCCTGATCGATTGATTTCCCTTCCTTACCTAACACTCGAACGAAGCCTAACCTCAATATTACTCACCTTATTACACCTACCACCTAACATGGAAGATCGAACGCAGACACCAATGGTCAAAGACAGCTAGCCAGACTTTTCATGTCCACTTTCAATGGCCATGTCTCACTCATAACCAAAGAGGAGGGAGAAGCGAACCACTGCCGTGCAGTACACACGTCCTTTGATCAATAGCCAGCTGAATATCACGTCTACTAAGCCAGAGATGACGCAAACTGGTATATACGGAACGGGCCTTTTGTTTCCATGCTGAGATCTCGTCAACAATCAACCCTTTGGGGCTGGCTGATGCAACTTCTCAAATAAGTGAAGTCGTCAACACGCTCAGGCATCACTCCACTTCTGTCTATCTTTAAGCCAACTAGTAGTCAATGTAGTCCAGGCCCGTACAATCACTTTATATTTGACAGCAGCCAATTGAATACCAAATATTTGAAGACTGCTTTTTGATCAAGGTGTTCAGAACACAGAAGACTCTGTATTTTGTCTGCGTCTTCACCTAGGAGGGAGGACTAGATATATTATCTGCAGACTCTAATTCAACCAGACTATTATTCTTCGGTAACAGGTCAATCCCTGAGTCTCTGAAGTTCTAACCCTATTGCTTACCTTAACTCCTTTAATTCCCAGAAGAACATAAGGCTTCAGCCGTGCGTCTCCATTGAGTTCAGTTCTCTGCTAGAGTCTTCACCTGACTCTAAGTCTGCCCACACTTTTTCATCTCCTCTTCACATGACCTCCTCCTGTATGTCACCCTTGCACTGACGACCAACTTGTCGCTTCCCTTTCGGGTTCCACTTGAGCAATGGCTTGTCTAGTGATGTCACTTGATGGTTGGTTTCTTCAGAGTATGGCTAGCCAATCCATCTCCATTTCTTCCTGCCAATTTGTTTCACAATCGGTTCCTGCTGTGTTGGTTCGCTCATTGCCAGAGATCTCTATTGCTGATCCATAGTCCAAACAATTCTTAAAAGTGCATCGGGAAGAAATTCGCACTTCAGTTAATTCACAAGGTTCGCAATGGCGCTGTAATAACGTGAAGTTCTGTAATCCAGAGAATGGTTCACATACAGTGTCACTGGTGCACTTTGGCTCCTTGGTTGGCCTCATATTTATATGATTTTCATCAATAATAGTGTGAAATGCGTCAAGAATATATATGATTATGAAATCTTTTTTCAAATAGTTCACCAAATGCAGTAAGATAAGTAGACATTAAAAATATTATGCAACAAGGTGATGACCATGATAATAAAACATATTAATATGATGTATAAAACATGGGCACTGTGGTAATAAGTAATTCGATATTAGTTTGTTTATTAGATGTATCACACACAGTGATGAAACAGTATTATTACAAACTGGATGACAAGGTTTTGAACAAAATTTATCATTGTTCATAATCATATGATCAATTATAATCATACGACCCCAGTAGGATGTATGGTGTTGTTAAAGTTCATAAGTCAGGATATCCCATTAGGCCTATAGTTGATTTTAGAAATTCACCTACATATGAATTATCTAAATATTTAGCCACGGTATTAAATCCCTTAAAAATCCACTCGAAATCTAGACTAACAAATTCTTATGAACTAAAACATAGAATAGATAATTTAAAATTAGATAATGAAGAGAAAATGGTTAGTTTTGATATTGTCAGTTTATATACACGTATACCAATAAATCTGGCTATAGAGGCAGTTAGAAACGAACTCATTTCTGACCAAGACCTCGAACTTAGGACAAAAGTGCCACTTGAGGACATAATGCTGGGAGTGCAGCTATGCCTAACTTCCACAGTATTGAAATTCCAAAAGAA